ATAGGGACGTGATTTCACCCTCTTTCTCCAGCTCCCTGGTACTTTAGAGATCAAGATGGCTGACCAAACTATTCTCCCTCCTTGTGTATCTTCTGAGACACTTGCCAAGAATAGGATCTAGCTCATCCTATTCTTTCCTTCAAGCTCCCAATACTTAGAAACACTGCCCACCTGGAACCACCAGTGGCCACACCTAGGAGAGACTCAGAGCACTCTCTATATAGGCAACCCACAACCACTACACCCCCTCCAAAAATCCTGTGAGGGCAACAGAAACTAAGGAAGGAAAAACCTACCCAACAGACAGGCAAGACCAGATATCAACTACTGGAAGTGAAATTCTTCTAAGCCCAGATGTCTGGATGATAAGCATGAGGACAGAATCAAAACAGCACCAACAGTGTGTCTCCACTAGAGCTCACCAATAGAACTTCAGTAGTTCCTGAGCGAGGCAATACAGCTGACGTACAGAATAAGGACTTCAAAATAGCTATTATGAAAGTGGTCAAGGAACTTAGGAGGACATGAATGAATGTGTTAATGAAATATTTGGAACACAAACAATGGATTTGAATGAAGAAAACAGGTCAAGGGTACACGTGTAAAAAAAGACAAGTGGAACCAAGGGAGAACTGGAAACAGAAGTGTAAGAGCCTGGAACAAGAATCCCAGAGGTAAGACTTACTGACAGAATATAAGAGAGGGAAGAAAAATCTCAGACATTGAAGTCAAGATAAAAGGAAATGGATTTCCCAGTCAATGAAAATGTTAAATTTAATAAAATTTCAAACACAAGGCACCAGAAAAATTGGGAGATTATGTAAAGGCCAAATTCATGACTTAGGGGATAAGAAGGAGAAGAAAGCAAGGTCAAAGACACAGGAACCATTTCCAATAAAATCATAGAAGAAAACTTCCCTAACCTAAAGATTGAACTTCCCATCAAGGTAAAAGAAGCATACAGAACTCCAAATGGACTTGATCATTGAACAAGTCATACTTGGCACAATATAATCAAAACAATAAAACAAAGAATGTTCAAAGATATAATAAAAAACATCAAGTAACATATAATGGCAGGAATTATTAGAATAAAATGATGACTGACTATACTAATACTGACTATCATTATGACTAGGGTGAGCAAGGCACCATATAGGACTCGGTCAAGATTCCATTTACATGATGTAGCCAATGAAGTGGATTCTGGACAATTGATAAGCTGTCACAAAGAACCAGACACCCATTGACCAGGACAGGACCATCATCCTCAGCAGAGAAGAGTGCTCAATTGGCATGGTTGGTGTACATCAAGACCACGATACAGAAACTCGTCATCTACCACAAGGAGATGCACATTGAACACAAATTCACTACACCTGACTGATCTCAAGATTAGACCACTGAAAACCTTGTCAGCTGGCTTGCCCCTGGTGACCCAGAAAGATGCTCCCTATATGTATGGTGGCCAGGAGAAGACTGCAGGCAGCTCGCTCAACAAGGCTGCACACAATACCACTGGCCATCATCTGCAGCTCCTTGGCAATCAGGTTTCCTTCTAAACTAAAACCTGATGATGGTCCTGGGCTCAAAGATGTTCCAAGTTTGTTGACTTTTTCTGGGCAGTGATGTTCCCCAGTCCTATTAAGCACTGTTTACCCATTTTCAGTACAAACATCTATCTTGCTGTTTACTCAAAGTCAAGGAATCCCCCATGGGGACATCAAATTTATCTGTCTGAATAATCATTAGATGGAACAAAAGCACCTTGGAGCATGAAAGATGAAGACTGTGAACATAAGCAGTTGTTACCAGATCAATCCAAGATTCAGTCAAGCAGAAAGAGGAAGAGGCTCCTGAAAACATGTGATTTCTCTTCTCTGCAGTCACACCCTGTCTGAGCACCTCAGGATGAGTGCAGATTTCTCAGACATCACTCATCTGCTGCAGCTGGGAGCAAGCTGGAACCCATGAGGAAGATAGGATCTTCTTCTCGGGGTACCCAAGCATTACTCGCTCCTAATCTCCTCTTCAGAGGAATTTTGTTCCTCTCCTTCTTGCTTGTGGACCCTGTCACCATCCACACATTCATCCCTTACTTTTCTGCTGCCAGAATGGAATTTCCTCTGGAGAAATCATCTCCTCCCCACCCAGATGCAAGCCCTTTCTTCTGCCCTCTCTCACTGCTTTTATCCCTTGACAAGTCCCACTTGCCCCACTCTTCCTTCCCCCCTCCTCTTCCTGTGCCTCCTTACCACCTAAGAGGAAAGTGTGCAAGCATTTCTTTACATGTGCTCATTGATTCTGTTGATGGAAACGAGGGGAGAAGGAGATGGGGACCCAGAGTCATCTGGGACACTTAACTTTTCTCATGTGGACTTGGAGCGGGATGGATGCCTCGTCATCGCCCATGATGATGTGACTGGCTTCTCTGTCCAGCTTCTTCTTCTGGGGACAAATGAAGTTCACCCTTGCACCCAGGAGGAGAGGAGGGGTACAGAGCTCATGCCCTGGTGGCTGGAGCTGTCTAACAGGTAGAGGTTTGGGGCACACCTCGTTTCATGTTCTGGCCTGGCTTGCTCCAGAAGCTGTTATGCCCCAGCCAGGCTGAACACAGACCCGGGGTTTAGGAACCCCAAATCAGGGCCGCATCTACAGCCCATGAAAGGAGAGAAACAAAGGACTGTTTTAGTGACATTGACATAGAAAGACAGCAAAAAGCTGATCTGAGGAACCAGAGCTCTCCACAGACTTCTTCCTTCCTAATTGTTGTCCCTTTAAAAGCCCTCCTAACTCCTGTCTCCCAGCATCCCCAAGCCCTGCCAGTAACCTCTGCTGTCTGCTTCTGTCTCAACTACACTATCTCTTTGTGAATAGAATTCAGTGTGAAAGCTCCTTTTGGGATTCCAAACATCTTAATGTTTGGGTCCAGTAAATGACTGAAGCCTGCCCATGGCAAAGTGCCTTCAAAAAGACAGCTCAAATCATATGTGGATTAACTGGCCTCACCCGGTCCATATCCTTAAAACTGCATTTTACATTCTTTGTTATTCATTACCTGGATGTTGTATCTTTAGTCCTTGGCATGCAGAGGCAGCAGAAAAACCTTTGAAAAAGGTTTCTGTTGTCCTCCATCTTAGCCTCCTCCTGTGTTTCCTCAGATGCTTTATTTGCAGCATTTTCTGCTTCCTTGTGTGTCTTTAGTGATTTCATATCAGCACCCTGTGAGGCAGAATTCACAGGTGAGTTAAGATCTGATATATAAATCAGGGGAGTTGTACTGAGAGAAGGCCTTGCTAGTTTTTTCATTTACCTCCTGCCCGTTCTTTACTTCGGTTTCTGTCATGAATGTTGGCAGAGCCAGCTCACTCCATCTCCTCTGCAAAGGAAACCTAGGGAGCATGAGATGGTATGCACGCCTCCTGGAGTAGCAGACCTATGGATGATGTTTGCTTTTCCTCCTGTAGATATGATTTTTTTGGTACAGTAAGTAGTTTTGTGCCAAGGTGTCATGATATCAGTTTGGCACAGTTGTTTCCAAGTTCTCCTCAGCCAGAATGTGAGTGAGGGAATAGGTTGTATTTACTAAAGTGGAAATGGAGTATTCTGATGTCAACTCCCTGGATGGTAGGAAACTGTAATCATTGAGATTGATCCAGGAGAGTTCATATGTATGTCCTCCACCTTTTCTGGTGGGGAATGGTTCTGCCACAGGATGCTAGAAAGAAAAAAAAAGCAAAATAAGTACTAGGAGACAAAGTAATGACTATCAGTTTGTATGTCAAGAAATCAAAAGTCTCACAAGCATGCTAATGCTTTGGTGGTCAAAGATGCAAAAACAAACAAAGCACAACATTCCAACCACAAAGCTGTTATGAGAAAGTGTAAGAAAGAACAGAGCTAGAAATAACTTTGCAGTTGAAACAAAGAGCTGGTCCTTTGAAAGAATGAACAAATATGACAACCCTTGATATGAACACCCCAAAGGAAGTCACACACTATTGAAATGTGAGCGAGAAAAGAGATGAGTAAGATCCATGGGAACTCTAGGACCTGCGAAATAAACCTTGTACTCCAAAGTGTTACAATCATCAAAGAAAGAGATTGCTAAATTCACAAAATTGACACAAACAGAGATATAACAGATTACCAAATATACACCACCAGCTGCCTTCCCACTGCTCCACCTGGATATGATGATGAATTCAGGATCTTATAAAATGTGCCAAGATCTATATGAATACAAGATTGAAAGATAATATACCTATAAGGACAGCCCAGGATCAAAGATTTCATGAAGGATCATACCTGCTGTCTTTAAATACAATGAAGATCAATGATCCTCAAGTTGCTTCACCAGAGAAAATAAAGATCGTTCTAAACATTCTAAGATGACAGTAGTACCCTGAAGCCAAAACAGTGAATGCACACACACACACACACACACACACACACACACACATACACACTTGAACATTTATGTTGCATACACACACGCTGACACTCACATACACTAATACACACACTCACAAAATGCATAATATAATGTTCTTTATGCCAATTATCTGAAATGAGATTCCCTGTTCAACACTGTTTAAGAACACATAAGAGATATCTCATGTTCTTCCATGAAGAATGATATGCTGTAGTTTTCTGACATACACATGGACACAGCCTCAGATGTACTGTGCAAGTTCCAGAGATATCCTTAGCCTAACTAGAGCCGTGGATGTGTTTGTGCATTCTTAAAAGGTGAGTGCAGTAAGCACATGCCAGGGTTTTTTGCAATATAACACAGCAGATGAAAATGATCCTTGCTCACTATATGTATGGATACAAGTCTCAAGGCATATTTTCTACTATTCATGGTTAAGGTTTGAAATAAAACAACAAACCCCAAAAGAAATAGTACCACATGGCCAAATAAAATTATAGAAAAGGGATCAAATTTATAAAAAAAAAATCAAATGGGCACAAGCACAAATCAATGTCTCAGACACCAGCAGTGACTCTGTGAATTAAAAGATTGTGCAAAACATGAACTTCATGGCAATAGGGAAGAAAACTCCCAATGTCAAGGTCCATAAGACTGGGAAATCCCAAATGTATCAGAACCAATGCTAGATCCAAATGTTTTCCATCCAACATGACTTTCTCTGCACCTTCAGAATAAAGCCCAGTCCACTAAACGTCATTTAGGAAAAATTTCCTACCATTTCTCACAAAGAATAAGTGATGTCACTTCCAAGGTTGAACCAGTAACAGCAAGGAGTAACCCAAGGTAGTTTCTCTATCTAATAACAGGGACTGCATTATTTTTATCACGGCAGTGAACATTTCCGTATCAGAAAGCAGCTTAAGGGACAACAGGACTCCCTTGTCTCATGCCCTCTGAGAACAGGGGAGGCATGGCAGATGGAGGAACTGGGGAAGTTGGCCTGGGGAAGATGAGGCTGAAGCAGCTGGTTCCATGGCTTTGGCAGGCCCTTGCTGCATCCAGTCACCTAATTCCTCCTGCTGCTCTCCAGTGCTTTAAGGTTTTCTGTCTTCCCAAACCAATCAGCACTCCATACTAGAGACCAAGCATTCAGGCACATATGAAGTGTTAGGCCTTTCACATCAAACCTTGAGGACGTTTTCCCCCAGTCTTGGGTAAGCATCATAGTCAGAAGAAGGTAGAATCAGAAACTCTGCATTGACCTAGACTAGTGACTTGTGTCTGGACTACTTGAGGTCAAAACATCTTCAGTGGCCTTTTCATTGTGCCTAAAAGTTCTCTAAGAATTCTCTAGGATAGACATCATCACTTCTACACACCTGATATTCGTTTTTTTTCTTAAAATCATATGGATAGATCTAAAAGATGATAGGCCTCATTGAACATGGCAGTGTGGTGGGTTGTCCCTAATTGAGATGGCATGGTTTTGTTTTCTGGTGGATGGGACATGATAATTCAGGAAGGTCATCAAGAGAATAGGTGACATTTGGGGCTCAAAAAAGCTTGGAGGATGGAATCAAACTGGAGGTGTTCACAGTGCACACAATTTTGAAGCTTACTTTCTGCGAATATCTCCTATTAGCAAAGACTTAAAATTAGAAAAGGATATTGTAAACATGTCAAAGAATCATGCTCATCTAAGAGGAGAATTAAGCTGGTTAAAAACAAGTAAATAATTTGAAAGCACAAATTAATTCAAACACCATTCAAAAGACATAGATATAAACCAACAATCCAGGAAAGAAACACAAACTCTTAGGTCAAATCAAGCCAACATGTCTGTTTCCAAGTGATCAATGATAACCATGTGAAGGTGACCCAAATTCTGAGTACAAATTCCCTGAAAGCAAAAGGCAACACATTCTCTGCAGTGTGAGGATGAGACTCAGACTGGCCAGTGCCTTCAATGGGCGGGGTCTGCAAGAGTGCACAGTGTGTCCAGTGAAGTCATTGCAAGGATGCAATTATGTTACTCAGGACCAAAAGAATTTTTCCTCCTTGTGTCTCCCAGAACTGCATTCATTTAATCCTGAAGTGACCCAATCCCTGAGAAGAAGCAATAGGTTCCGTAAGTCCTACATTCATACTCTAGCTCACAATGCACAGGAAAGGCATGAATGGAGACTTGGGAAGGTGGATCTCAAGCATGCTTGCATGGCTTTCTGGGTTCCACTGCCTGTGTTGACCCAGTTTCTCCTTCTATGTTCTACTACATGTTCTACTACGTGGGTGTTTCACAACCTCCCCAGATAGCACCCCCTGTAGTGACCAGGAATTCAGAGATAATGAGATGGTATTAGACTTCTATCATTATAACTTTTAGGAGACCATTTTGACTATAAAACAAGCAGCAGTAACAACAAGAATGCACTCTGAGCTCTCTGATGACCTGAGTAAGAGAAGTGTAATTCAGTGGAGAGTGAACACATGGGCTTCTTCAATATTGCTCTCACCTAGACCCTCAAATTCTTTAGTGTCTCTGACTGCCTGCTGCAGACCTCCTAGTTTCTATACTCGTGATACTCAGTCCCTTTTTATTGAACTCCCAATTATGGGAATCATAAGGAGGGTAGCCTGTCCTGGACACTGCGATGCCATTAGAAAATGTGTTGTCCCTCAAGATTCCCTGCCATATTTTGTCTCATGAGTAGCATGGTGGTATGTGATGAGTTTGAAAATGAAAAGGGAATTGATCAGACCAGAAAAATTCTGTGGGAAGAAACAAAGCTGGTGAGCTATCGAATGCTTTAATTTTTCAGCTAATATGTACTGACAACAGCTTTAAGGTTTAGAAATAAACCAATGTACAAAATGGGAAAGATAAATATATAGATAGGAGAAAATGCTTGATTAAAAAAAAAGTTGAAGCAAATGTAGAAGTAAAAAAATGAAGATATGAAAAAGAAAAGAGAAAAATCTGCTCTGTGGTACCAGAGCTCTCCACAAGATTCTTCTTTCTAAACTGTTGTCCCTTGCACAAAGTCCTAGCATTACAGCCGAGGCCAACTCTCTGTTCCGTCTACTTTTGTCTCCACTTTCCCAGTGTCTTCATGAGCAGGAATCAGTGTGAAAAAATCTTCTAGGTTGCCAGGTACCTTAATGTTCGTATCCAAAAATGGCTGAAGCCTGTCTGTGGCAAAGTGCCTTGCAAAGAACATATCAAATACAAATGCTAATTAGGTGGTCCAAGGGCATCATTTCCTAGAAATTACATTTCCCAGTCCTTGTTATCCCTTACCTGGATGTTGTATATTCCCTGCTCAGGGTAGGGAGACAACAAGAAAGCATTTCAAACAGCTTCTTGATCTTCCCCCTCACACCTTTGGAGCTCCTTCTAGTGTGCTTGTTGGCAGCTATGGGTGCTTTCTGGAGCTGCTCATCTGGAGATTCAGATGCTACCTCCTTCCTCATAATGTCTTTGAATATTTCATAGTCATTCTCATGCTAGGAAAGGGATGGAGGGGACACAGCATAAAGGATATTCTGTGTGTTCAGGCTGGTGATGTCAGAACTGGTGGAGTTGTGTCTGTTGTCAGGATCATCTCCCTCAAGATCTTTTTCTTCAGATGTTTATCCACGATCTCTAACACAACTAAATTTGTGTTAGTAAAAGTGATGTCCTCCACCCTAACCTCCTCCTGTGTCCCCTCAGATGTTTTATTTGAAGCATTTTCTGCTTCCTTGTGTGTCTTTAATGATTTCATATCAGCACCCTGTGGGGCAGAATTCGCAGGTCAGTAAAGATCTGAGGTATAAATGAGGGGAGCTAGACTTAGAGAAGCCCTTGCCAGTTTTTTTCATTTACCTCATGCCCGTTCTTTACTTCGGTTTCTGTCATGAATGTTGGCAGAGCCAGCTCACTCCATCTCCTCTGCAAAGGAAACCGAGGGAGGGTGAGATGATATTCACGCCTCCTTGAGTAGCAGACCTGAGGATGATGTTTTCTTTTCCTCCTGTAGATATAATTTTTTGGTACAGTAAGTCGTTTTGTTCCAAGGTGTCATGAAATCTGTTTGGCACAGTTGTTTCCAAGTTCTCCTCAGCCAGAATGTGAGTGAGGGAACAGGTTGTATTTACTAAAGTGGAAATGGAGTACTCTGATGCTAGTTCTCTGGATGCTTGTAAACTGTCATCATTGAGATTGATACAGGAGAGTTCATCTGCCATGTCCTCCTTATTTTCTGGTGGGGAATAGCTCTGCCACAAGATGCTAGAAAGAAAAAAAAGCAAAATCAACACTAGGAGACAAAGTAATGACTATCAGTTTGTATGTCAAGAAATCGAAAGTCTCATATGCATGCTAATGATGCATCTTGGTGGTCAAAAATGCAAAAACAAACAAAGCACAACATTCCAAACACAAAACTGTTATGAGAAAGTGTAAAAAAGAACAGAGCTAGAGATAACTTGGCAGCTGAAACAAAGTGCAGGTTTTTTGAAAAAAACGAACAAATCTGACAACCCTAGACATGAACCCCCAAAGGAAGACACATATTGAAATGTGAGACAGGAAAGAGATGAGTAAGATCCATGGGAACTCTAGGACCTGTGAGAAAATCTTGTACTCCAAAGTGTTACAA